TTTGGGAAAATGGTAGAGTCAGTTATTGAAGTGGTAGTGTACGTTTAGAAAATTATAATACAATCAGCAGACTCAACATGATTATGTGAAAGGAAACTTGTGCCTCTCCCAATTAGATTTTTGAAGATGTAACAAGCAGGGTGGATAAGGGTAAACCAGTGTTTTAGAAATTCAAATTAACATTTGTAATGTTCCACAGAAAAGATTACTGCAAAGCTAAGAGCTCATAATGTTGAGGATGATATTTTTAGGATTATAGGAGATAAACTAATTAATAGAAAACAAGGTCAGGATAAAAGGATCATTTTTGGACTGGCAAACTGTAATGAATGGAATATCACTGGAATTATTGGAGTTGCAACTATTTAGGATCTATATTAATTACCTGGATTAATTCATTGCCTATATTGTAGCCAAGCAGTTGATAATATAATAAGAGGTAAGAGATCCCTCTTAATCAAAAATCTCTCCATGGCATTCAAACTTCCATATCCTCAAGATCCTCTGCTGTTGTAAACCTATCTTTCTCCTACCCACAAGTACCTGACTCTGGCTTCATTTTTATGCCTTTCACTGCCTAGGCCCCAGATTATTGAGCTTTTTCTTAAAATCCCCTTGTGCCTTCAACTCCTTCTATTTAAAAACTCAACTCTTTGGGCTTAGTTTTTGATCACTACTCCTAATTTCCTCTTTATTTTTAATCAACCAGTTTTTTTCCTTGTGCCTCTGAGAAACATTTTCCATATTTATGGCATATATAAATGCAAACTACTGTGTAGAGACATTAGTGTAGATCATTCAGTTTCTGAAGCCTGATTTGCTATTGAGCTAGATCATGGCTGATCTGTGTCTACAGTAATTGCTCTGCTTCCCTCCATATCTCTTAATACCCTTCATTAACAACTTCATGATCCCTATCATGAAAATTTCAATCAATCCAGTAACTATGGCCTTTTGGGACAATGTTTTGAAATTCTGTTAGCATTTGTGTAAAAGATTTTTACTGAATTGAGTCCTAAATGGCCTAGCTCTAATTTTAAAATTATGCTTCTTTATTCAAATCACAGGAAAGAAATGAAGAGCAAATGTGTAATAGAATTACTTTATTTTAAATATCATGATTAAATTTCCTCTCAACATTCTAAACTAAAGGGAATTCAAACCAAGTTTATATTGCTTGTTTGCATAATTTAACTCCTCTGGACCTAGTATAATGCTGATGAAACTGTGTTCTACCCTGCAGTCAATTTATTATCTGGTACTGTGCCAGAACTGAATGCACTACAACAAATGGGATTGGACCAAGGCTCTGTATAACTGAAATATTACCTCAACTTTTATATTACAGCTCTGTTGTTGTAAAGGCCAAGATTCCCTTTTTTTTGTTAAAATCCCATTTTCTATCTGTTCATAGTGATTTCAATACGTAGATACCTAAATTCCGCTGCCAGCTCCTGATCTCTCAGCAGTAAGACAAAGTCTGATATATCTTTCTCAGATATAGGCTGACATTTCTCCACATTTTAATTAAATCCACCATACTTTTACTTATTCACTTAGTTCATGTCCCTTTGTAGCTTCTTGCATTTATTTACACAATGCACTTCCTAATTTGATATCTTCTGTACATTCTATACAACTATTTCCTCATCCAAGTCATTAATATACATTGTGAAAAGCACAAACCAATGTAGATCCATGAAATTGCTATTTGCTTCACCTTGTCAGTCAGGGAGCTTCCCCGTCCCACTCTGTTACCTATGACATTTCGAAGGTCGTATGAGGGTATCTTTTTTTCTTCCCTAGGTATTTTGATTTCTCAAATATTGGCCAGAACCATGAACTATCCCAACTACTAGCTCACCGATGATGTTTTCACTTGAAATAAAATGTTCCTGTGATCTGCAATCACGTACATAAGGTTCAGGTTTTAATTTTCAGGACTTTATATTCAGCTACTTTAACGGTTGCCATTTGTTTAGTTTGTCCAAAATCTCAATGATTGATTTGATATTGCTTTCATGATGGAACCAGTGGTTTCAAAGTTGTTTTTTTTAAAAGAGAATTCTAATTGAAATAGGAAAGTGCCCTGAAAGTTTCTCTGAAAAATGAGACCAAAACTGAGATTGGAAGCCAAAAGCTCTTGGGGAGACAAACTGGGTGAAACCACTTTAAAGGGTGCAGAGTCATCAAAACTTAATGATCCTAGTGAAGTGGTGGAGGCAAGACCCAGAAGCTAGAATAGACAAAATATACACTTGCTGCAGCCATATCTGCTACTTGAAAATGATATTAGTGGATCTATGCCCTCTTAACCACTGTAGGCAGAATTGAGGAAGTTCTGCAAACATGTACCATTTTGGCAAAAACTTACTCTGTGGAATTTTGCTTAGTTGTTTTGTTGCTGTCAGCTGGAGATCAGGCTAATTCCTCAAAGTAAAGAAGCTGAGATCCATCCTGAGGAAGACAGATTTTGAACCACTTTTATTGAGATTTTTAAACACTTTTAGCCAGCCCTTTCAATTGTTTTATGACACATCTCTGAAGCAGGTGCAACTTTTGATCAATCTTCTGGCTCAGAGATAGGGACACTACCACTGTGCCACAAGAGCCCTTTTATGCTAAGTTAGATTGAGGCAATTTGCAAAATCTTTCATAGTTGTACCTGCCATGTAGCTTGTAATTTATCATTTATAATTGACCACAGTTTGCCTGTTAATTTATGTTTAATGTTGATTGTGGGTTGTAGAGTACAGGTGACTAAGTATTTAGTGTTTGTTTTGTTTTGGCACTTGAAATCATAAAACAAAAGTATTTTAAATCATGGAATCTGCATCATTGCTTCAGTAGATAACTATAATTTCAGATTCATTCTTTCAAAAAATGTTACTAGTCTCGACTGAAATTTGTTTTCCTAAGTTATCATTGGCCTTCACTTCACAGTAACTCTATTGGTTTCATTCTTTTAAAAAAAATTGAACAAAACTATTAATTGTTTAAAAAGGTGTAATTGGGTTTTTAACACCACGTTCATATTTTTTGTCATACTATCTCTCTGGCTCTGAAAACTTAATTATGTATTAGTGAATATCAAGATTGTGCATTGTCATAATTCCAGAGATTTTTACTATAATAATTAGTCTTAAAGTTTGATTTTGTATATACATGATATAGTATTTATATATCAGCTTCTAACAATATCTATCCCAATTATTTATTTGTCCACTGTAAAAAATATTATTAAGTGGAAGATAATCGGAATAGATTACCAATTGATTTGCTGTCTGTGACTTTTCTTCAATATTAATTGCTGCTTAACTTGTTCAATGGCATCACTGTTACTGGATGCTAGAGATACCCCACTCTTGGCGTCAGAATCAAATTGTCGTCTGAAATCATGAAAACCACTCTGCACTAATTACCGAATCTTTATGGGCAGCTTTCTTTGAGGTCAGTAGCAAGCACTGTTACTTTGCTGTATACTGCAAAATGCAGACCAGTAACAATCTAAATGTGAGTATGAAGTTACAAAGCTGTAAGTTCTGATAAGAAATGTAAATCTGGCTGACTGAGTAAATTGTAATTATTGTCTGAAATGTATTGTTATAGGTATTACACTCCATCTATGTTACTTGCATTTTCTGCCTCCCATCAGTGTATGCTTTTAGTTTTCATTCCTCACTCTTTTATTATCAATTCATTTTTGGTGAATTTCAGGGATTTATTGTTCCTAGAGTGCTTTGATGTCAATAGACACTGATGAGTGCTCACAAATGTGAGTTGCAAGTTCATTGTATTCTACAGATTTTCAACATAGACCTTGTAAATTAATCCCAGAAGATTGCTTGATCTGCGTCCATCTGGGACTGGATAGTGTTTTGAACTTCTTAGGTTCTGTATTTGTTTTGTGGTTCTAGACTTGAATCTTTTTGGCTGAGCCTTGTCTCAGGTCTGATTATCTGTGATGAAAGGTGTTAAAGGGTTTGCATTTTAAAATAGAAGTAGCTTTTAAAATTTGGCCAAAAGATATTGGAAAAATGCTGAACAAACAGTGGACGTTAGTGTAGATTAAAAGCAAGGGTCACTGGATCTTATCAAGTCAAAAAAAAAATTCAATGATGTGAATTATGTAGTGAATATTCCAAAAAGGAGGAAAAATGTGTGTGCTGTTTACGTGTTGAAGAGAGTTTATAAAAGGAAAGATAGTCAGGAGAAAAGTGTATTTACAGTAGTTAAATAGGTAATTCAATAAAATATTAGAAAAATTGAAAAAAAATCAAATTTAAAAACTCAATTTGGTCTTCCTGTAATCAAATTGTATAATACAGAGGAGCTTAAAAGTTTTGATGAAATATTAAGCTACCTTCCAAAAAAAACTATCAACATGACTTAAAAAAAGCTAATACAGACTCCTAAATTGATTTCATAGAATCCCTACAGTGTGGAAACAGGCCCTTCGGCCCAACAAGTCCACACCAAATCTCAGAGCATCCCACCCAGACCCATCCTAATATATGCCCTCTACCTCCCTGAACACTACGGGCAATTTAGCATGGCCAATCCACCTAACCTGCACGTCTTTGGACTGTGGGAGGAAACCGGAGCACCTGGAGGAAACCCATGCAGACACGGGGAGAACGTGCAAACTCCACACAGACAGTCGCCCGAGGCTGGAATTGAACCCGGGTCCCTGGCGCTGTGAGGCAGCAGTGCTAACCACTGAGCCACCGTGCTGTATTTGAGTGAATATGCCAGGATAAATGTCTTTGGCTACACATAAAACAACATCTTTACAGACTCAACCCAGTGAAGTTAGCTCAAATGAGGAAAGGGAGCAAGTTCATGATGTACAATTACAAGTATGCCCCCAGTCTTGTCTTCTACAGGATGGTTTGAAACTCACTGGTCTGAGAATTTGTAATGGGTTACTGATCTATCCCTTGCAAATGTGTGAAGCAATTGAATGTATAGTCATACTAAACCATCATTAATTCAATCAGGTTTTTGAAGCAGTCATCTCATGGGTGAAACATGATAAGGAACCCCGGCAGGAGCACATGGCACGATTGATGGAAAATGTCCGGCTGCCTCTCCTTACACGTGAATACCTGGTGCAGGTAACATTACTGTATGAAGGGAAGTGGTCTGGAAGGGCCAAATCATTGTGGGTGTAGTTTTTGAAAATTATGAGTAATTATAGCCAGATTTTGTTTACAGTACAGTTCTTTTTTATATAAAGTCGGTGAATTTAATTACCTTTATCATTGTCTCTCTTGGGGAATAAATTAAGAGAATCAGTTTTGCCTTTTCTATCTATCACCTTAAAAATAGAGCCAATGTGGTCAAGACAGAGCAGTCGATCAGTGTATTGATGAGCTGTGACAGAGAGGTAACGTGTGCTCTCTTGGAGAACCAGAGTTGGTGTTGGCTTTTACAAGATTATTGACCAACCTATTGTTATCTGATAAAAGAGAAAAACACTTGAAAATAATGTGCTAAATGTTATTCAGCACTTGCTTATAGCATTAAAAACTGTTGATTTTGTTTAACAGAGAGTGGAAGAGGAGACATTGGTTAAAAATAGTAATGCATGCAAAGATTACCTCATCGAAGCAATGAAGTATCATTTGCTTCCAGCGGATCAACGTGCATTAATGAAAACAACCAGAACAAGATTAAGAACTCCAGTCAGTCTTCCAAAGGTATGTGATTCTCAATATCTCAATAGTTGTGCAATCAAACACATTAGTTATTGCCACATTCACGCAACTCTGCTCAGATTTCATAACATTCTTGCTACCAAATCCCCTTTTTCTTTACTCCAGCTATAAGTGTATCAGCCAAATATCATCCTCTTTTGAGTTTCATGCACAGGAACAATCTAGGAGTCAATCAAATCATAATACTGTAGATTGCCAGATTGGCTAAGTTGATGATATAACTGCTTGCATCTTCTATTACAGAAAGCCATATAAATTTTTGTGACAAATTCAGGGCAGGATATTAAGGCAAGTTTCATTAATAACCATTTAGACTACATATCAAAATAATGTAACATATTGTGTTTTCCTCATTCTAACAATTGATTGAGAGATTTGTGTTTCTCTCTTTTTTTTCCCTCCTTTGCTTTTTGAATAACTGCATGAGTTTAGTTGAGGGATGAGCACATTTTCACAGTATGGGTGTATTGGATCTTAGTTTTATTTTTCCTTCCATAAGTAAAATAATGAAACAATTGATTTCTTCTGCAGCTTGAGGTGTAATGCAGAACTTTAATGAAACACCACTTCACCTTTCAGGTGCTGGTGGTGGTCGGTGGCCAGGCGCCGAAAGCTATCCGTAGTGTGGAGTGTTATGATTTTGCGGAAGAACGTTGGTACCAAGTTGCGGAGCTTCCCTCTCGGAGGTGTAGAGCAGGTAAACAAGTGCTGATTAATACTCAGTTTTGGATATTATAGATCATAGAATCATAGAATCCCTACAGTGTGGAAACAGGCTCTTTGGCCCAACAAGTTCACAACGACCCTCAGAGCATCCCACCTAACCTACACATCCCTGAACACTATCAGCAATTTAGCAGGGCCAATCCACCTAACCTGTACATCTTCAGACTGTGGGAGGAAACCGGAGCACCCGGGGGAAACCCACGCAGACACAGGGAGAACATGCAAACTTCACACAGCCACTGTGCTGCCCCCGGATATCTTGACTTCAGATATAAAGTGTTCCAAATGATGTCCCTGAAAACCTATCTCCTTGACCCAGGTTTTGGTCACTTATCCTATTATCTGTTCTTGCATCCAGTTTTTGTCTGATACCATTCCTGTAAAGCACCTTAGATTGTTTTGATTATAATAAAAGCCTTATCAGAGGAACTGATTTATCTTCGGTTTTTAAGCTGAGAATGCTTTGCAACAAGATTTTTTGTTATGTACCAAGATTGCCACATTACTGTCATAGTAGTACCATTACAAACAGTGCTTGCTTTGATGCCTAATCTCGTACGTCTATAGTTCACAAAACATATCCTGCACAGGCCGTTGTCATTGTTATACTGTGATGGATGGCAACTGTTTTGCTCCATGCGATCAGAAACTGATGAATGAACAGTTGATTTATTTTTGACAAGGAGGATAGAATGTTGGCTGGGATACCGGGTGTCTGCTTCTGTTGGAAATTTCACTGAACTACCAGAAAAAAGAGCTGGTGGTGTCTCAGTTAAAAGATTTGAAAGAGGGATCCTTCTGTTAATATAATGCTCCCTCAGTATTGAATTGATTTTTTTGTTTAGCGTAGATTATGTGATCAAGGCCAAGAGTAAATCCCAAACTCTCAATCTCATTATTTGGAGCTAAGAAATGTAATCGAAACAATGTCTTAATGTCTGTTGTGCAGGGACCTTAACTCTGCCTTAGTGTCATAGTTACAAGTCTTGGGAATGCATTATGTTGGTAACAGATATCAAAAGTTGAAGCTTGTAGGACAAAGTTTATAGAAAAGCTGACATTACTCCAAAAGGTTTCTTAATGGTTCTCTGATTTGCATGGGCCAAAAAGTAAACTGAAATTATTGATACATGGAACTCCTGACCAAATAGTATAGCTGTGTTTTTGTTATAATTCTTGTTAGTTTGTGGATGTGCTGTACCCATTCTTAAATGTATTTACATTAAAATAACTGCAGTTTAGATTTATCCCATAATTACTAATTCAAGGTGATTTAATTGTGGAATTAGAGTCATACAACATAGAAACAGACCCTTTGCACCGAGCAGTCCAAGCCGACCGTAATCCCAAACTAAACTAGTCTCACCTGCCTGCACTTGGCTCATATCCCTCTAAAAGTTTCTTATTTATGTGCTTTTAAACATTATAACTGTACTCACATCTACCACTTCCTCTGGAAATTCATTCCACACATGAACCACCCTCTGCGTTAAAAGAATCACCCTTCATGTCTTTTTTTAAATCCTTCTCCTCTCACATTAAAAATATGCCCACTAGTCTTGAAATCTCCCACCCTAGGAAAAAGACACCGGCCATTCACCTTATCTAAACCCCTCGTTATTTTATAAACTTCTAAAAGGTCACCTCTCAACCTCCTACACTCCAGTGAAGACAAGTCCCAGCCTCTCCTAATAACTCAAATCCTCCATTTCCAGCAACATCCTGGTAAATCTCTTCTGAACCCTCTTCAGCTTAGTAATATCCTTCCTATAACAGGGAGACCAGTACTGGACACAGTACTCCAGAAGAGGCCTGACCAATGTCCTGTACAACCTCAACATAATATCCCAACTACTATACTCAAAGGTCTGAGCAATTGCAAGACATGACCTGAGCTATTGCCTAGTCCTACCTTCATCACAGACTGTAGAAAAGAGCAAAAGAGAAAGCATATAATGTGACGAAGGGGATTGGGAAGCCTATGAAGACCAACAGAAGACAACTAAAAAAGAAATAAGGAGGGAGAAGATTAAAAATGAGGGTAAGCCAGCCAGTAACATAAAAGTAGATTGCAAGAGTTCCTTTAGATACATAAAGGATAAAAGTGGACATTGGGCTGCTGGAAAATGACATTGGAGAAGTAGTAATGGGGAACAAAGAAATGGCAGATGAACTGAACAAGTCTTCATGGTAGAAGACACCAGTAACATCCCAAAAATTCAAGAGAATCGGGGTCAGAGGTGATAGAAAAACAAAGGTCTGAAGTTGGATAAATCACCTGGACCAGGTGGACTACATCCCAGAAGGAGATAGCTGAAAAGATAGTGATGGTCTTTCAGGAATCACTGGAGTCAGGGAGGGTCCCAGAGGACTGGAAAATCATTAATGAAACCCCTCCCGCTCCCATGTTTAAGAAGGGAGAAAGGCAAAAGATGGAAAATTAAGATCAATTAGCCTGACCTTAGTCATTGGTAAGATTTTGGAGTTCATTGTGAAGGATGAGATTTCTGAATACTTGTAAGTGCATGGTAAAATAGGGTTAAGTCAGCATGGTTTCATCAAGCGGAGGTCATGCCTGACGAATCTGTTAGAATTCTTTGAGGCGGTAATGAGCAGGTTAGACAAAGGAGAGCCAATGGATGTTATCTACTTGGACTTTCAGAAAGCCTTTGACAAGATGCCATACAGGAGGCTGCTGAATAAGATAAGGGTCCATGGTGGTAGAGGCAAGATGCTAGCACAGATAGAAGATTGGCTATCTAGCAGAAAGTAGAGAGTGGGGATAAAAGGGTCCTACTCAGGCTGGCAGCCGGTGACAAATGGTGTTCCACAAGGGTCAGTGTTGGGAACGCAACTTCTCACTTTATACGTTAATGATCGAGATGAAGGAAGTGAGGGAATTCTGGCTAAGTTTTCAAAAGATCGGTAGAGGGACAGGTAGTATTGAGGAGGTGGGGAGGCTGCAGAAGGATTGAGACAGGTTAAGAGAGTGGACAAAGAAGTGGCAGATGGAATACAATGTGGGAAAGTGTAAGGTCATGCACTTTGGTAGAAAGAATAGAGGTGTAGACTATTTTCTAACTGGGGAGAAAATTGAGAAATGTGAAGTGCAAACTTGGGAGTCCTAGTCCAGAGTTCTGTTAAGGTAAACTTGCAGGTTGAGTCAGCAGTCAGGAAGGCAAATACAATGTTGGCATTTATTTTGAGAGGACTTGAATATAAAAGCAGGGATGTACTATTGAGGCTTTATAAAGCTCTGGTCAGACCACATTTGGAGTATTGTGAGCAATTTTGGGCCCCATATCTCTGGAGGATGTACTGGCCCTGAAGCGTGTCCAGAGGAGGTTCACAAGAATGATCCCAGGAATGAAAGGCTTAACATATCAGAAACATTTGAGGACTCTGGGTCTATACTGAACGGAGTTTAGAAGGATGAAGGGGGATCTAATCGAAACTTACAGAATACTGAAAGGCCTGGACAGAGTGGATGTTGGGAAGATGTTTTCATTAGTAGGAGATTAGAACCTGAGGGTATAGCATTAGAGTAAAACATAGAACATTACAGCGCAGTACAGGCCCTTCAGCCCTCGATGTTGCGCCGACCTGTGAAACCAATCTGAAGCCCATCTAACCTACACTATTCCATTATCATCCATATGTTTATCCAATGACCATTTAAATGCCCTTAAAATTGGCGAGTCTACTATTGTTGCAGGCGGGGCATTCCACGCCCTTACTACTCTCTGAGTAAAGAACCTACCTCTGACATCTGTCCTATATCTATCGCCCCTCAATTTAAAGCTATGTCCCCTTGTGCTAGCCATCACCATCCGAGGAAAAAGGCTCCCACTGTCCACCCTATCTAATCCTCTGATCATCTTGTATGTCTCTATTAAGTCACCTCTTAACCTTCTTCTCTTTAACAAAAACAGCCTCAAGTCCCTCAGCCTTTCCTCATAAGACCTTCCCTCCATACCAGGCAACATCCTGGTAAATCTCCTCTGCACCCTTTCCAATGCTTCCACATCCTTCCTATAATACGGTGACCAGAACTGTACGCAATACTCCAAGTGCGGCCGCACCAGAGTTTTGTACAGCTGCAACATGACCTCATGGCTCCGAAACTCAATCCCTCTACCAATAAAACCTAACACACCGTACGCCTTCTTAACAACGCTATCAACCTGGGTGGCAACTTTCAGTGATCTATGCACACGGACACCGAGATCTCTCTGCTCATCCACACTACCAAGAATCTTACCATTAGCCCAGTACTCTGTATTCCTGTTACTCCTTCCAAAGTGAATCACCTCACACTTTTCCGCATTAAACTCCATTTGCTACCTCTCAGCCCAGCTCTGCAGCTTATCTATGTCCCTCTGTAACCTGCAACATCCTTCCGCACTATCCACAACTCCACCGACTTTGGTGTCATCCGCAAATTTACTAACCCATCCTTCTACGCCCTCATCCAGGTCATTTATAAAAATGACAAACAGCAGTGGCCCCAAAACAGATCCTTGCAGTACACCACTAGTAACTGAACTCCAGGATGAACATTTCCCATCAAACACCACCCTCTGTCTTCTTACAGCTAGCCAATTTCTGATCCAAACTGCTAAATCACCCTCAATCCCATGCCTCCGTATTTTCTGCAATAGCCTACTGTGGGGAACCTTATCAAACACTTTACTGAAATCCATATACACCACGTCAACCGCTTTACCCTCATCCACCTGTTTGGTCACCTTCTCAAAGAACTCAATAAGGTTTGTGAGGCACGACCTACCCTTCACAAAACCGTGTTGACTATCCCTAATCAAATTATTCCTTTCTAGATGATTATAAATCCTATCTGTTATAATCCTTTCCAACACTTTACCGACAACCAAAGTAAGGCTCACTGGTCTATAATTACCAGGGTTGTCTCTACTCCCCTTCTTGAACAAGGGACAACATTTGCTATCCTCCAGTCTTCTGGCACTATTCCTGTAGACAATGATGACATAAAGATCAAAGCCAAAGGCTCTGCAATCTCCTCTCCAGCTTCCCAGAGAATCCTAGGATAAATCCCATCCGGTCCAGGGGACTTATCTATTTTCAAACTTTCCAGAATTGCTAACACCACCTCCTTATGAACCTCAATCCCGTCTAGTCTAATAGCCTGTATCTCAGTGTTCTCCTCGACAACATTGTTTTTTTCCTGTGTGAATACTGACGAAAAATATTCATTTAGCGCCTTTCCTATCTCTTCGGACTCCACGCACAACTTCCCACTACTGTCCTTGACCGGCCCTAATCTTACTTTAGTCATTCTTTTATTCCTGACATACCTATAGAAAGCTTTAGGGTTTTCCTTGATCCTACCTGCTAAAGACTTCTCATGTCCCCTCCTGGCTCTCCTTAGCTCTCTCTTTAGGTCCTTCCTGGCTAACGTAACTCTCAAACGCCCTAACTGAGCCTTCACGCCTCATCTCTACATAAGCCTCCTTCTTCCTCTTGATTCAACTTTAGTAAACCACGGTTCCCTCGCTCGACCACTTCCTCCCTGCCTGACAGGTACATACTTCTCAAGGACACGCAGTAGCTGTTCCTTGAACAAGCTCCACATTTCAATTGTGCCCAGCCCCTGCAGTTTCCTTCTCCATCCTATGCATAAAAGGAAGACTCTTTTAGAACAGAGATGAGGAGAAACTTCTTCAGCCAGAGAGTGGTGAATCTATGGAATTCATTGCCACAGAAGGTTGTGGAGTCCAGGTCATTGAGTGTATTTAAGACTGAGATAGATAGGTTCTTGATTGTTAAGGAGATCGAAGGTTACAGGGAGAAGGTAGGACAATGGAGTTGAGAAACTTATCAGCCATGATTGAATGGCGGAGCAGATTGATGGGCTAAATGGCCTAATTTCTGCTCCTATATCTTGTAGTCTTAAATACAGTGACTTAATTTCCAAGTTGATATAACTTTAAGGTGGAAAAAAAAATACATGGTTCTGCCTTAATTAGCTGTAAGTTGTCAGTCATGACCAAGTTCCCCATCACGGCTTTGAACACAAATATAGGTTGACACACTCCAGTTAAGTATTGAGGGAATGCTGTGCCAGCTTTTGGATGAAGCATTAAACTGAGTTCCCATCTGCCTCATCAGATGCATGTAAAAATTCCTGGCAGTATTTTGCCCTTAGCTAACATCATTAAAACAGATTATCTGATCATTGTCTTATTGTTTGTGGAACCTTGCTGTGTGGAAGTTGTCTTTCATTTTTCCTGTACTACAGCAGTAATCAGATTCTTTACATACCAGTTATAAAACACTATCTTAAGGCAGCTAATGGTTGTGAAAAGTGCTACATAAAGTCTTTTCTCCCTTTGGCTTTGGTCAGAAGACATGAGCTCCTCAGAATTTTGTTAATACATGTAGATGGTGCTTTTAGTGAATCCTCCAGGATAAGATCCTTCAATGATAATCTTCTTGAGCATCCATAGGGAAAATATTGAACTCTCATTTTTTAACAAGATATGTTCTGGTGAATCTTGTAAAGTAATTGAATGAGAAACTTCATTGCTTCCTGCTCATGATGCAGGTTAGTATGTGAGGTAGACATTGCTGAAAACTACAACTAAGTGGACACATATGGTTGAGACCTTGGAGTGTGCACAGTTTGACTTTGTCTTCTGCTTGTGCTTCGTCACAAAGTGTTTATGTATTGGAAGTGTGAGCTGATAACAGCCAAAAGAATTTCTGGGAACTTGGTGAATGACAGGACCGTCTGGAATAATGGGGTGAATAACACTTAAATCGGGTTCAAAACAGAAATCAAGTGAAGGAAAAGAAGATTACATATACAGGGGGAAAAAGTAATCAAGAAAACCTAAGAAAAACATTCATTTAGGATTATACTCTATGAACATGAGGACCACAGTTTTAATTGTTCCATTTCTTGGCCAGAGAGATTGAGTGGCATTGCAGGAACCTAGGTACCTTTTTTGATTGAGATTTATGCTGTTTAAGGACCTGCCTGAGTTTATTTGTAATTATCGTGCAAATGCAGCAATTCATTAACTTTCAAAGATGGATGGTGAGCTGTTGTTTCCACTTGGTGCTCAGTGAAGTGGAGCAATTGTCCAGCAATTTGGGTTAAGGAGGGGTATCGAGTAAATAGCCACAAATCGCTGTACAATGTAAACACTAATAATTGGTTAAGTATTAAATGCTTAATTATTTTGCTAACAAATTCTTTCATGCCTATTTGGGAATGTGGCAAAGATCGCTTTTTAATTAGGGGGCCAGTTATTCTTCCTGAAAATAAGGTAGACCTTTGAATGAAGTAAGCAAGAAGATCTTTTAATGCACTACCTTGATTTTGAGACTTAGGTTGGTCAGACTTCCTTTATTTCTGAAACTTTGTAAAATCTGTAATTCAAAATATTTATTTATACAACTAATACACATAACATGATAGACAGAGTGAGGAAGCCAAGTTGTCTCTGCAGTTTTGAATTTTGTTGACAAAAGGCTGGAGGATGAAATGAAGTCAAAGTTGACTTTCCATCCTAATCCACCCACAGCTTAAACCGAATTAATGTTTTGTTCCACAGCACAATGAAGTTTTTGGATTCTATAAAACACAATTAAGAGGAAAATCAAGTGAAATTGGCGTGTTTTGATGCAGCCTTTCATATAGTGCTGTGAAGGGCCTTTTGTTTGCTATAGAGAAGTGCATTGATCATCCAAGAGTTGACTTACATTTTTATCATTTTTGTCTCCTGCAGGTGTGATGTATATGGGTGGGTTGGTTTATGCCGTTGGAGGGTTTAATGGTTCGTTACGAGTGAGAACAGTTGATTCGTATGATCCAGTCAAGGACCAGTGGATGAGCAATGCCAACATGCAGGACAGGCGGAGCACGCTGGGAGCAGCAGTACTGAATGGAATGCTGTACGCAGTGGGAGGATTTGATGGAAGTACAGGTATGCCCAAGCTATGTATGTTGGTCTTCCATGTTGTTAGGCAATATGTTATTTGACTAGGATTGGTGCATTGTTAGCATTATTTTACAGCTTTAAAGATTACAACTAAGAGGTCTTAATTATTCTTTTGAGTCAGGATCATGCTTTCATTACTAAAATCTGTCAGAAGGCTTAACTACATACTTTGGGTGCTTTTCTTCCAGCGCACGGAGCGGCTCTGATGGGGGCAGGGATCTTCAGGAAATCTCATTTTAGGAAAGGCTGCCTTCCAATTTCTCATTGACGTGTTACCCCTCAGTAACCTTATCTTGCATAGTGTTAGTTTTCACACGCATGCTGATAACACCCAACTCTTCCTTATCTAGCTGAAGCCCAGTACTAGTTGGGCAGAAATTTCCTCCAAGTAAATATCAGAAAGAAGCGGGATAGGCTTTTCAGCCCCTCCAACCTGCCCTGCTGTTTGAGATTATGGCTGATCATCTACCCCAAAAGCCATTTTCCTGTGTTATCTCCGTATCTCTTGATGTCATTAGTATCTGGAACTGCATTGACCTTTGCCTTGATCATACTCGATTTTTGGGCTTCCAAAGCCCTCTGATAAAGAATTCCAAGAGTTCACTGCAGTTTTTATTCATTCATGGAATTTGAGTGTTGCCGGCTGGGCTATCATTCATTGCCCATCCTAATTGGCATTGGGAACGTGGTAGTGGGCTGCCACCTTGAACTGCTACAACCCATAATCTGCTACAATAAAGCTGTTAGAAAGGGAGTTTCAGGGTTTTAACTGAGTGACAATGAAGAGCAGCAACATAGTTTTAAGTCAGGATGGTATGTGGCTTGGATGGGAACTTGCATGTGATCCCTGCACCTTCACAGATGTCTGTCCCAATTCAGGCTTACTCCAAACTTGACATTCTATCACCTGGTTCGAACACTGGCACCCTAACCTAACCTAACCTAACCTTAATCTATCCCCACACACTCAATAACCCATTAACTCAATGGAAACGTCTATCTGCATTTACCCTTTAATAATTTTGTAAGTTTCAGTGAGATCATCTCTCATTCCACTTAAACTCTCGAGAATACAGGCCCTGTCTCACCGTCTCCTCAGAACAATCCCACAATCCCAGAAATTAGTCTAGACGAACCTTGGCTGCTCTAGCTCCAAGGCAAGTCTATCCCCCTTGAAATAAGGGGATTAACACTGCACATAATACCCAGGTGTGGTTTCACCACGTCTCTATACAATTGAAGTAAGACATCTTTCCTCTTGTATTTAATTCTTCCTGTGATAAAGGCCAACATGCTAATTACCTTCTGCACCTACATATTTGCTTTCAGTGACTTATGTACAAGACATGAATGTCTCTTTGGACATCAATACTCTCAATCTTTCATCATTTAAGAGACTGTCCCCTTCTCTTCCTCTGCTCCAAGTTAGAAAAACACTTCATCCACATCAAATTTCATCTGCTATGTTCTTCCCACTCACTCTGCCTGCCCAAATCGCTTGGCTTCTTTGCGTCCATCTTACAACTCAAATTTCCACCTAGCTTTGTAACATCTACAAATGTTGTAAAATCTGCAGACTTGGGAAATATTACCTTTTGTTCCGCACATCGAAATCAGTGATATAGATTGCAATCAGTCGGTGTCCAAGTACAGATTGCTGCAGTAACCCAATAATCACAGCCTGCCAACCTAAGAATGAACTATTTATTACTCTGTTTTCTGCCCCTAAGACAACTTTTTATTTGCTATCCCATCTGCTCTAACTTTGTTCATGAGGGTCCCATGTGGGACCTAATTGAAAACCTCCTGCAAGTCCAAACACACCACATCCCCTACAGGCCCCTTACCTGTTCCATTACAAACATGCTGAAACATGATGCCAAAGCCTGGCAGATGTCTGGAGGTTGCCTCCTGGCACCAGCAGAATGAGGAGCCAGCAAGGTCTCCCTTCATTCTGAATGCCAGCGGGCCACTGCTGTGGCTGAAGGTCATCCTGTGGAGTGAGGATCACTCTTCATGCTGATTTGTAATCCTTTTGTAATGTTCAGAGCATCCCTCATTAAGGGCCCCTAATTAAATGGGGCTTCTGAAGGCAGCCACTTAGCACCCTGCTTTCAGGAGCCTTGTTAGCTGGCAGCGGTTAATTGGCTACCTTGAGCAGACGGGTGGACTTCGGGAGCCATTGAGAAAGGGTTCCAAAATTGATCCTGCTCCTATGTTAAAACCTAAGGTAATAAGATTCCACTGTATAAAATGCTCCACATTTCTCTATATGTTTGGAAAGTATTTGTCATCAAATTGCACTCCCAAATCATTTGTAAAGATTTACAAACCATCTGAAATATATAACTTTGAGTATTTGCATTGTTGGTACCACTTACTGTCAATCTAAATCATTCAATTATTTTGTTACTTTTATAATGCATCCTTACTGACGTCTGAAAAGACCCAAAAGCAAGCTTACCTTTCACTTGGCTGTGTCACTGTTAATTCTAAATAACTTGCAGTTGTTTGGCTTTATCTTGTTCTTAAATTGTTTGGAATAGTTTAGCATATTTAATTTGGGTATCTTAGTAATTTGCAGTAAGTGTAAAATGATTAAACGAACTAAAATAGTATGATGATTAGTAGTGGGGGTGGGTTTTTTTGGTATCACAACACGTACCATATGTATGCTTGCACCTATTGATCAACCTACTGTAGGCTGACGATGAAGGGAGTTAGTGTTGGGGGTGAGAATGTGGGGTGGTGGAAGAAATGGAAAGACTGACAACAATTGAGTAATCATGCATAAAGTCAGAATTGGAAATCCGGTAGAAGGTAAGCAATAGTGTTAAATGGAAAAATGTGCTTAATATAAATTAGAAAAGATGAAGATAGCTAAGGAAAGAAGAAAAGCAGGCTCCTTACGCTAAGGTCCATCTGGCGGATAAAATAGCTTCTGCCCAAAGGGCACACCAGGCAATTTTCCCAGCAGATGGTAAGTTTACTTACAAGCCTAAAGCCGTGAAAAGCTGGTGAATTAACTTTTCACAGATGGTCCCTGTCTGAGCTGAGCAAGAGGCCTTGGTCTGAGTTTCTGCTAAATAGTCAGTGATGCCCTAATAGAAAGTGCACAAATGTGAATATCTGTTAAAGTCAGGATTGGGCTTCACTCAGATCCCCTCAAATAGCTTGCTGATACTCACTTTCTAGGCTTACACATGAAGAATAGCCACTTGAAGTTGGGGGGTAAGGGGAAGTTGCTGCTGTGCCCTAGAACTCTTAACTCTATGTACATTCACACCTCCTTCAAAATAAGTGAGAACAGAAAGTGATAAAAGTAAAGAGAAATGAGGCAAGGAGTGGGTCTACACTTAAAAAAAAAAAAAAATTGTGTGAAATATCACATTGGTCAGGGTTGTTGAGATCCTATGATCCAGACGTTTTCACGGCTGCTTGCTTGAAAAGAACAAAATTGAATTCTGCCTCACAACTTGCCATGCAGGGATTAGGTCTGATATATACAAATCATTAGCTGTGTGGATTTCTATACATTCATTGATGATAGATACAAGCTGTTTATCACCTCTTTTTTGTTGATATCATTTTGATATCGTTTGAGAGATTGACTGATCTGTTCTCAATTTTGCAGGTTTATCTTCTGTCGAGGTATACAATGTTAAAGCAAACGAGTGGGTTCATGTAGCCCCAATGAACACCAGAAGGAGTAGTGTTGGTGTAGGTGTTGTTGGAGGTGAGTTCTGCTGAATCGACTGTGTTGTGCAATAAATGGAAAACCTGTCCCTTCTTACAAAAGAATTGTTCATGGCATGTGGGTCACAGACAAAGGCAGCATTTATTGCCCGTCCAAGAATTGCCCTTGAGAAGTTGGTAAGCTGGCTTCTTAAAATGCTGCAGCCCCTGTGGCGTAAGTATTCCCACAATGCAGTTGGGTAGGATTGCTAGATTTTTATCTAGCATTGATGAAAGAAAAGTGATATGGTTCCAGTCAGGATAGTTTATAGCTTGGGGAAGAGGGAAACCTACAGGTTGTGTGCTCCCATATGCTTGCTGCTGTCCTTCTCAGTGGTACATGTCACAAGTTTAGAAGATGGTGTTAAAGGAATATTGACAAGTTCCTGCAGTGCATTTAGTTTTCCTTTTGATCAATTTGCACTGTAACTCTTGTTTCATCTGGGAGAGGCAGACTAGCACAATAAAATCCAAACCCCACCTAGACCTACAACGTGACTTTACATGTTTTTAAACTGACACAGGCACACTCCATAAATCATATCCACACTTTCATATCTCTGTGCACACCAGAAATATGACCTCTAATAAGTTATAACTCAAACTTCGAAATGTATCACAGAACAGTACAGGCTGTTTGTCTCAAGTGTTTGTGCTGACCACAATGTCACTCTAAACTAATGCTACCTGCCTACACGGTCCATATCCCTCTATTCCCTGCCTGTTCAGTGTCTGTCTAAATGCCTGTTAAAATGTTATTATATGTGCTTCTACCACCTCTGCTGGCAGCGCATTCCAGTCACCTATCCCTCTATGCATTAAAAAAAACTTGCTTTGCACATCTCCTTTAATCTTTGCCCCTCTCACTTTAAACCAATGCCCTCTAGCGTTTGACATTTCCAACCTGGGGAACAAGCCCTGTGTATACATCCTCCTATGCCTCTCATAATTTTATACACTTCTATTGGATTGTCCCTCAGCCTTCGACACTCTCGTGAAAACTATCTGTTTGTCCAACATTCCTTGCAGCTAATACACTTCAATCCAGGCAACATCCTGGTAAACCTTTTTTTTTTTGAATCGTCCCCCAAACCTCCACATCCTTCCTATAGCGCGGTGACCAGACCACACACAATACTTGAAATGAAGCCTAAATTTTCTACAGCTGCAATATGACTTGCCAACTTTTATACTGAATGCCCTGACTGATGAAGGCAAGAATGCCACATGTACTTTTATTTACCACCTTTGTATCTTCAGATCCAGGAAGACGGAAAAATAAGTTAAAATGTTAAATAAGTTTAAAATATCAACCATAATACCAATACGTATAAGACAGAACTTAACAACCAAGGAACAAAAACACATACAAAACCACAGAGAGTTAACATTTATTTCAGTGACTTGCAGACGCTCGGGTTCACATTCAAACAGAAAAGGTTTATTGCCCTGATAATATGCAACAAAAAAGCTTCTCGCCTTCCCTACACAAGTTATTTTGTTTTCTTTTTACGCAGCAAAGCTGGTTGTCTTCTTAACACTTTATTTTAGTCTCAGATTTTATTTCTGTACCTCAACCTTTGGTTGTAGTTGAAGTGAGAGGTACAGAACGTTTTACGTTTGTGACTAAAATCATTGTCAGCTGAAGTCACGACAGGAGAGCTTTCCCACACTCATCTGTGCTGTGACTAATACCAGTTGCCTACTGGATTTCCCTTTTCGTTCCAACATCATAAGTTTACACGGAGAATGAACTACTTCACTGCGAGGTTGTTAAAGTGTTTCTCTTTCTTTGATATCAGAACCTCTCACTTGTCTTGTTACCTTCCATTAGATCTTGCATAATTTGTAGCATCCTATCAAAAATAGTCAGATGTGCTCTACTGCTGCATTTTGATAGCTGACTGTTTTGCTCCTGGCTCTAAAGTATGAACTTGTCTTTTTAAACTATTTTTCTCCTGACTTTTCCACTGCAATTGTTTTCTTAAGTTATTCACTCAAACCTGATTCTTTTTCACAAACTCGATTGCTTTCTGAACATGACAGTATGCTTTATATCCCAAGAAGCTCATGACTTTTTCACCTTCTAACTTTGTCATCCAAACATGTTCAGACGAAGGCAACTATCTCTTTAAAGTTGCCCTGCACCCACTTCCTCCAGACATGCTATGATCAGTGTTTGGACATCTTTGCTAGAGACCTTGTCCAACCTCAGTGGTAGAGAGAAGAAACTGTTTTAAATGCCATTTTCACCAATTGTGTTTGAGTCATTGGCAGGTTCACAATGATCCTCCAGCCTCTAGGCTTCCCCTTCTTGATGACACTGTTGGCTGGGGATTTACCGAGAACCTTTATGATGTCAGGCATTCCCATTCGGTCTCGATCACGTTGAGATCACCAGTTTTAGAAGTTTTGGGTGTCTTTAAATTTAATCTCTCATACTAATATTAATTTGTTCATTTCAGATTTTAGCCAATAAGGCAACAGCAGTCAGTCTAGTGCAGTAGCTCGAGAAACTTCACTTTGATTATAAGTAAGACTTATTAAAGCAGGGCAGTGACTTTACCGGCGTACCATGGCGCGTGCTTTCCGGTTCAGCTTGGGGTGCAGCTCAACATTGGGTCTCTGCCTCTGTCCAGTGCTTTGAGGGCTGTCTGCTCCTGATTGAAACAGGATAACTTCAAACTTGTCACACATGCCTTGGTCACTGAAAGATGGTGCTTATCAACTCTTTCCAAAGCACAACTGGCAGCATGATCAATTAAAAACCGAAAGAACTGCTGATGCTGTAAATCAGGAACAAAAACAAAGTTGCTGGAAAAGCTCAGCAGGTCTGGCAGCATCTGTGAAGGAGAAAGCAGAGTTAACGTTTCGGTTTTGGTGAGCCTTCCTCAGAATTAAGCATGATCAATTACATCATTACATTCTGATTGGCCTTGGCCATGCATGGCTTATTGCTAATTGGTGTAAGAAACATATGACCAATCTCTGGCTGTCAAGAATGATGGATGTTGACTGATGTCACCATCCACTATCTCCTGACTGGTTATTTAAGTTGTCAGTTATCCACAGGGCCACCACCGTCTTTAAGTTTTGTTATTCTCACTTTATAAAGATAAGAGGATAGTTTGAAATGTTCTTTACCTCTTTGTTCAAAGATTTATATCCTTGAGCTCATGTCTCAATACTAGTTTAATTGGTGAAGTTCCCATTAAATCAACACTGATTATTCATTTTTCGTTCTTCGAGTCATTTGTTTAAAATTGTTTTGTTATTGCTGTGTTTGTAGATATTTTCTAATCAATCTGTTCAGAAATGTTATTACACACATCTGAAACAGGTGGGACTTGAACCCATCTTAAAAGCAGTTTGTTACCCTTGACTTTAATTAGTCAAAATTAATACAGAAATTACTGATCTCTACAAATTGTTTTACAGGATTGTAAACAAACTCATTGTTACAAAGTTGAGTATAATACTAAGGTTACATTGAGTCAATTACTGTACTTCCAATGCACCTTTGTAAGGACGCAGCTATGGCTATGATCCCTTGATAAGGGCTATCAAGCCTGGGAGTATACTCTGTCTATCATGTTTCACCTTGGAAGTCTGGATTGGAAACTGAACAGACGCCCTACGGCCTTACAACTATAATTTCAAACATTAGGTTATTGTCTTCACACTGTTGACAACCCCATGTTGCTTTCTTTGTCAAATGAAGCTAAGCTGAGTCACATGATAAACGAGTTACAATACTAAGGTCTGCATAATTAAGCAGAACAATATAAAATTAGATTGATCAATGAATATTACTTGAATTTTCTGATTATAACCAAACAAAATTGATGTTGAAACGCTATTTTCATTGCTAATCCTTCACTCTTGTAGTTCTTTATTTTCCATATCCAGCTTTAAAGCACATGAATGTGCACAGTAGGATAACTTATTCCAGACTGTTTCCTACTTGATTGTTCCTTTTAAGAAACTCTTTTTTGAAAGCCTGTTAAGGACACACTCATAATTTCCGCCTTACATTTCTACGTTTTCTGGTACAGCTCCTGCTATCTATACTTCTATCTTTTCTGTTAAACTGTTTGTTAGTCACATTCGAGAATGCTGTAATGCCATTGTAATTTTATACTTAAAAATTACTGAACTCGCATTGAATTACAATCCAGCACAGTTGCTTCTCAGCTTCTCAAATTTAAAACTAATTAAACTTCAGTTTCTGAGACATCCCACTTGTGATATCACTTAGATTTTGGGGGTTAATTAATGCCACCATGTCTGCGGTGCGGTGGATATTGTAATTTGTTATATGGGGGTGGACCTGCCCTCTCTCCATATTCAGCTGTTTCCTCCTTTTAAGTTCCCCAAATTAACCTCTCATCTTCACCAATATCAATACTTGCTGTAACCACTGACTTGCAGTTTCTTTTTTATCTTGTTGGACATCAGCATTAACTCATTTACGTAGCTGTAGATATAAAGTGCTGATGATAATTATCCCCTTTTGTTCTTTGTCCTGTGTCTGACCTATCCACCAACATTTTCATTCTCCATGGATCCTACCTGTCCTTCAGCATGCTGCTAATTATTTTTGACTGTTGTTCTGCTATAAATCTTGTGATGGAGCCATCTAACCCATATTCCAGGTCTATAGCTCCCTTTCTCTCTTTTCCAGGTTATATATTAAAAAATTTACTGGTACTCAGCACAGATACCACCAGCAAAGTCTCCTACTTCTTGATCCCCTGTGTGAATTTTACCAACGTGGGTTTAGCCCAACTAAATCCTGCATGAATTCAATCAATGTGGAATCTTCTACCCTCCTACACAAATTCTACCAACGTGGAGTTTAACTCAATTATGGTGACTGCACAGTCTCTACCAATGCATATTTCTCACTCCTACGCACATGAATTCTACCAATGCAGCAGCTTCCTCGCTGTCCTGCATGAATTCTACCAAGGTGCAGATTTTGTCTCAACTGTGGCTTTTGTGTGAAATCTACCAACACTGAGCCCTTGTTGGCGACCTCTGTCCTCAGCACTTATTGTACATTATACTCTTTCAGATCCTTTGATACTTGATCGAACCATCCTCTGGTCAACTTACTATTTGGGGATGGCAAATACGCTACACTCACCCGTTTTGTAACACCACTTCAATAGTTCAAGCTGAGTATCATGTTTGTAATGCTAGTTGTATGGTAACTTATGACAATCGACCACTGGAGACTGAGTATAGGTCTACAGTTGTTTCAGTCAAATGATATGGGGTTAGTATCACTGCAGTTAGACTGGAGTAAGACCATGAAGAATATAGAAAATCTGGCTACCTTTGTACGATAAGTATCTCATTATTCAGGCTTCAATCTTGCTTCAAATAAATATAAGAAATGGATGTCCTTTCAAAGTCAAATTTATCTTATCCTAGATGATGTTGTTTCTCCTGTTCCTTATCAGTGTCTGTTACCACCCCGGCTCTAATGATTTATTAGCATTAACGTTTTCCTGACACTGGTCCAAGGTTCATGAGCTGATGTCTGCTCTTTATTTTTGCTACAAAAGTTTAAAAAATACATTTACTACATTTAACCCTTACAGTCTAAATTCACCCTAACAAGATTTTGTATATTGTCAAAATAAAACAAAGCACTGTGGATGCTGAAGACCTGAAATAAAAACAGAATTTGCTGGAGAAACTCAGCAGGTCTGGCAACATCTGTGGAGAGAAGTCAGAGCTTACATTTCAAACCCAGTGAGACTCGGAATCTACAGGTGCTGCCAGACCTGCTGAATTTCTCCTGCAATTTCTGTTTCTGTTTTGTACATAATCTCTGGCTCCTCGCCCACAAAATACTAGAACCAGGTAGCAATGCAGTTATATTTTTCTTTTCAATATGTAAGCTTTATAACTTCCAAGACAACTTTATGTTCACCCCTAGGCTAAACCATAAAAAGTTAATAACTTCTGTGTCACAGGAGTGATGTTTAATTAATCTGTATGGTTAGTGAAGTGCTATGTTGGAATTTGTCATGAGAATTGAACGTTTGCTCCTATTGTTCTATAATTATAAACAAGAATTATGTATAACCTTTCCTGTCACTGCTGAAATGGACTACAAGGAATCATGATTCTTAAAAAATGTGGGGTTATCTTTGCACCCATTCAGTCAATCAGCTTTACTAAGCCCTAAATGATTTGCCAAGTCAAGTTTGCTATTTTTAATATAAAGTTTATCTGCTTTGTTCCTCTAGCCGTGTCCCCAGTGAATGCACGATGGTAATATACTGCTTGTCTGTAGTGAATGAAGTCAAAAAAATTCTAAATTTGTAGCATTACGGGATAGAATTCTGCTACTGTCAACTTGGTTCGAATGTAGTGCATTTATTTTCTCCCCGAATACTCCAATCCCATTTCTGATTCCTGCTTGCTGAGGTACAGTTCACCAGACTTTGAACACCTATACCATCTGACTATGACCCCTTTCTTTGTACTTGTACTTTGCTATTGAGTAACGGGTAACTGGATAGCAATCCAGGGGGATCCTTAGCAGTCTTTACTGTTTGATTTACAAGTGGTGATGACCACCACCATTGCTGCAGATCAGATAACTCAACGAGATTGGGATTGAACCTGTAGTTTTCCTGATCCGTCAGACAGTGGTACTACATGCCTTAATCAATTGAATGATTGTGGGCAAATGTCAGACATAGAGCTTTAATTTTTTTTGTTTCTATTCATTTTGTGTCACTGGCTGGCCAGCATTTCTTGCTCATCCCTAGTTGCCCTTGAGAAGGTGGTGGTGAGCTGCCTTCTTGAACCGCTGCAGTCCACCTGGGGTTGACCCACAATGCTATTAGGGAGGGAATTCCAGGATTTTGACCCAGTGACAGTGAAGG